AAAGTACCTATTTACTTCATTTATTCACAACTCCTTTAAACTTGGCAAGGTAGTCTAATATTTTCGGAAATGTATTTCTTTAGGATGGCAGGACGAATCGTCATAATGCCTGCTCACGATTTCTTTTCTATGCATTGTGTAAGTGAAAATATAAAAAGCTATTGGAATACCCCTGCCCAACGTTGTCTATACGTTTGGTTGACTGATATCGTACAGGTTTCAAGTATCGTGTTCCAAAAAATCATGCCCCTTGTTTTATTTTGCTACTTCACTGTCAACTAACATTATTAATTATTATTAATCATCATCATACTAAGTTTCGTATACGCCTACACTACTCAAATTTAAACCACATATGTTATATTTACACTTAACCGAGCCACGTACATAATTGGTAGGCGTTTTAAATAAAGGTACTTATTTAAAACGCCTACTAATTATGTACGTGTGTACGTAATGGTTCTTATTTAACGATTTTTTTTGTGTAGATAATTGTAATGTAGCTCAATAATTTTTAGTACGTAACGAAGGAAAGTTCCATGTGTGGAACTAGTGAGTTTTAAAAGTTCCATGTAAAACTTATTCCATGGAATTAATTGGAACAAACCGATAATTGTTGACTTTGATAATAACGTGAAGAACGTGTAGTGCGTGCATAGTCTTACAACTAATCTTTTAACGGTTAGCGAACTGATAAAGAATGGAAATAGTGTCAATTTCGAGCCTGATAAGTGCCTTATAAGAAGGAGAGAGAGAGAGAAGAAGAATATATCAGGTTATTTAGTAGCGGAGGCTCACCTCATCGATAGTGTTTACGAGTTGAATCTGAAAACTAGAAGAGAGAACTAATAAGAACTGTTTACTACCATCGTTACTGACTGGTGGTGGCACTTGGCACAGACGACTTGGTCATTAATATTAAATATAACAAAATGAAACGTGGATTAGTTGACGGAATAGAATATTCTGATATTTTTGCAACAAGTAAGTCAAACTGTGAAACATGTTGTGAAGGGAAACAGTCAAGGTTACCCTTCCCCATAGGTAGGCGAGCCACAGATATACTTTAGTCGTTCATTCCGGCATTTGTGGTCCCATGGAGATGAATTACATTGGTGGTGCTAGACATTTCCCACTCTTCATTGATGACTTCAGTAGAATTACTCATCTACTTTCTTAAAACAAAAGATGAAGCATTTAGTTATTTTAGAGAATTCAAGGTGATGGTAGAAAATAGCCAGAATAAGAAAATGAAAGTTTTGCGAACTGACAATGGACATATTGTGGCAAAGAGTTTGAAGGTTTCTTGAAGAATACGGGCATAGTATACCAAAAGACAAACCCCTACACACCTGAACAAAATGGTCTTAGCCAAAGGTCAAATCGGACCATTTTGGAGAGAACAAGATGTCTTCTGTTCGAAACAGATCTTAAGTTCTGGCCCAAAATTTGGACAGGCAGTAAACCAAAGTTACAACATATATCCGTATTTTTGGTAGTCCAGTCATGGTCTATATTCCTAAACAAAAACGAAAAGTGGGATAAAAAGGCTACAAAACAAAACACATGGCATGGGATTCAGTGAAAATGTCAAAGGTTGCAGGATTTATGTCCCAGTGAAGAACCAAGTGACTACTAGTAGAGATATGATAATACTGAAGAAAAAGAAGGAAGATACAGTTACAGTCTATACAGGGTGTAAGAGTAACGAATACTGAAATAGTGTATTCAAACCATGATTCTGAGTCGAAAATCTGAAATCTGGATCTGCTATCTCTTGTGAAAGAAAAAAGAAATAACAGCTTTAAGTAGTTGTGAGTCTGTGTACGTGGCCCATTCAGAGGCAGCAATTATAGGTTCTTGTAATACAATTATGTTATATTGTGATAGTCAGAGTGTATTTAAGTTGGTAAGTAACTATGTATCACATAAACGATCTAAACATATTGATGTGTACCATAGCAGCAATCATGTTACCAAGCGAGAGAATTCCCACTCCGATGGCCGCCACCAGGCCGCGTAAAAAATAAAAAAAGTGAGGATGTTAAAAGTTGATATAAAAATAAAAAGTATATTGTCAGTGCACATTTTATCTATGAAATAAATTGACACTTAGTCAACTTCTTCTTGTTTTTTAATAATATCATAGGCGTAGTTAGTACAAATAGTAGGGGAGCCCATGGGCTAAATGGGGATTTACTCATGCGTCATGGGGGCCTATTGCATTTGAAAGATTAGGTAATAGAATGAATTAAAGTTATATAATGTTTCCATTTTCAACGGTGGGAAAAGCTTCTACAGTTTTTCAAAAATGTTAGGGGAGGAAATCAAGAAAAAAATATTCGGGCGCATAAGATATTTTGCGGATATGTTCTTTGGACGCCAAAATGCTTCCAGTGACACCAAGCTGGTAGCGAATTATTGAATATGCAAATTTGAAAAATCGCTATTTCGAAATACCCGAGTGCGTTAGATTTTATACAGACGGTTCAGTTTGATGTTCCTGTCATACTAGAAAAACATCTGACTATAATTTTACAGGGTCCTTTATCTGATGGTTAGCAATATTTTCATTTTTGGATTTTTATAAAATGTGACAAATAAAGACATGAAACATTATGTAGACATTTTAGAAAGGTTTCTTTCATTGTTTGCTTCAAAATTAAAAAACAAATGTAAAGGTCATGTTTTGTATTGAAACTTTGTGACCCTCCCACTGCTTTACGTCACGCTCAAATCGTCTGATATTTAGAGTTCCGTACCTCAAAAGGAAAAAACGGAACCCTTGTAGGATTACTTTATTATCTGTCCGTCCGTCCGTCCGTCCGTCTGTCTGTCTGTCTGTCTGTCAAGACCCCTTTTTTTTTTTGAACGCGTGGGAGGTATCGAGTTAAAATAAAAACCATATACTTCTATGGTCTCTTGTCTCGGTCTATGGTCTTTTGAAGCTGTAAAGCTGTAAAGAGACGACCATTTATGCCGCAAAAAACGAATATTTCGACACTCTCAAGGGAATCAAAATTCATCTGTTGACCTTATAACTCTGAAATTTGGCAAGTAACATTGCCTTATAGTACAAGTACATGTAAAAATCTGAAATCGATACATTTGTGAATAATTTATAAAAAATATAGTCATTATTTATGATACTTAATCAATAATAGACGTACAATTTATCTTATAAATCTCAAAAATAAAAGTCATTATAGATTTTGAAAACTGAATTTCGACCAAAGCTCGGAAATAACTGCGAGATTCGATTCCTGAAATATTTATAATACGTTACTAAGAGGGCTGCTATTTATGTATCCGGAATAACAAAGTGAAGCAAACATAGCATTTATTATAGTTTTATTGCTTTTCAAAATTTTCGCCGTGGTGATCGATGCACTTTTGCATACGTTGGGACCAATTTTCGTAGCACTTTTTCCATTCTGATTGTGCTATCTTCAAAACGTGCTTTTAAACGCATCAACAGCCTCTTCACGGCTCGAAAAACGTTGACCATGTGGCTTATTCTTCACCTATTCATAAATAGAAGTCGGGGCCAAGTCAGGGCTGTACGGCGGATCTTCCAAATACTGAGTTGTTTCGGCCAATGTGTGGCAGATAGCATTGTCATGATAAAGAAGGATTCTGCATTCTCGGTTATTCTTTCTTATTTCTTCAAAGACTGCTTGTATAAAAATGGTAGTGTATAATTCAGAATTAACCGTTTTAAGATCCTCTAGTGGTACTGTAGCCACATGTCCATTTATACCAAAAAAAAACAAGCGACCAACTGGCTTCAAAATGCTTTTTGAACGAATGACTTTTGTTGGGTTCGGTTCATCTTGGAACACCCAAACTGTTGATTGTTGTTTACTTTTAGGATCATAAGCATACTCGTATATCCTATATTCATCACCTATGTAGATATTATAGACAGCTTTTGACGCACCCTGATTGTACATTTAACATTTTTTTTACTCCAATCGTCAATTCTCAAGTTGTTTGGAATTCAACGTGAACAATTTGTTTTTACAGCGAAATCATTCGGGTAATATTTTGTATTTACTTATTCCCAGAGACGCCTCTATTTCGCGATATGTAACATGACGATCTTGCATTATTAGTTCCCGTACAGTATCTATATTTTGAGGCACAACAATCGATTTAGGATGACCTTCTTTAAATTCCTCCGTGAGCACAGACCGTCCTCGATTTAAACAAGTTTCAAATCTTAAATTTAATTTAAACCAGTTTTTTTATGGTGCTTCGTTCCCAAAAGTCTAAGTGAGTTGATCGATGCACTGTTTTTGATTTAACACTCGCCGAAAATCGTAATAAATCATAACGGGACAATTTTCACGAGGCAAATCCATGGTGATAAAGACACGCCATTTTCAAAATAACGCCACGAAGGATAAACAAATGATAGCTACATGAAACAAATTGTATTCTTCAGCCAAAGAGTTTCAATTTAAATGTAATAATTAATTTTTTAATATTGTTCTGTAACTGGCCCGTTCCGGATACATATATAGTAGCCCTCGTACAAATGTGTATGGAACCCTCGGTGGGCAAGTCAGACTTGCACTTGTCCGATATTTTTAAATACACACTATTATGTATGTAATTTACTTAACTTATAATCTTACACGCGCGATTTTTTTTAAATCTGATGGGCTCCCTAGACGATCTTCCCTATATGTAGGTCTCATGTATGGTGGAGGTAATCTGCCACTCTCGAGTAAAGCCCAAAATCCCTTCTAGGGCTCCTCTACTATAAAGTAACAACTGTTATGAGTGAACTTCAGTCTTAAGTTATTAAGATTAACTTTGCGTGTTACTAGTTGTACCCTGCAACGATTCGCTGTGTCACATTGCGCTGGCATTGATGAGAAATGAGGAACAAGTGACGCGAAAAATAGATAAAAACCGGCTTTTGATGCGTGTTGAATATTGTATCAATCATGTTTAATGTAAATTTTCTTTTATTTATGTTGTGCAGGTAAAGGATGTCAGCTGCTCCAAAAAGCTTTATCGTCCGCTTATTTCCTATTGTACAGTGGTCAAAGACTTATAATCCAGAACAGGCAATAGGTGACATGCTAGCTGGTATTACTATTGCACTAACATTAATACCGCAATCGATGGCGTATTCTGCTCTAGCTGGCTTCGAGCCTCAGGTATGTATAAAGTTTGATAGTAACCGTACAAAACCTACATTTGGACACAAATTAGTATACTATATGAAGATATATAGTAAAAATACACCATATCTTCTAGCAATATAAACGCAAGTTTATTTGTAACTTAAAAATCATTTTTACGCGTATACACATAGTAATTTTTTCTGTGGACGTAGGTCATAATATGTGTACCTATACGAGTATACTCGGGATTCTGATGAATCGGGATGACGGGATGTATTTGGAATATTAATAATATGCATATAAAATTCTCTGTAGTGCTTAGAATGTTTTTACGGACGACAGTGGCAAATAAATGGTATTTCAAAAGCAAGAAATGATTTTTCTGTAATTATTCTAATTGACTTTAATTCAAATATCTTTTATTTCTTGCAAAACATTAAGATTATAAGAGCTTCTATGGAAAAATAACCGGCTTTTGATTTAAGAATAATTTAATAATGGTGCCAAATTTAAATTATTTGTTAAATTTGACACCATTATTAAATTATTCTTAAGCAACAAAACTTATTTTTCTGTAATTATTCTAATTGACTTTATTTCAAATGTCTTTTATTTCTTGCAAAATATTAATAATAAAAGAGTTTCTATGGAAAAATAACCGGCTTTTGATTTAAGAATAATTTAATAATGGTGCCAAATTTAAATTATTTGTTAAATTTGGCACCATTATTAAATTATTCTTAAGCAACAAAACTGGTTTGTATGAAAGCTGTATGACGCGTTCTAGATTCCCTGCAGTAATCTTCAATTTATTTCTAACGTTAATTATACCTCCGCGTGCAATAAACACAAGCTGCTAAATTAAGACTCCCAGCAAGTATATCTAGAGCCATTCTACCTATTATGTTTAACTGTTTTTAGTATAATAGCTTAAACAGATTTCGTTTGAGAATCGTCTCATTTCATATTATATGTTAATTTATTTGGTTATTCTACTGCTGTCCTATATCTGCTATCAGATAGTGATATCATTTGTTCAAATATGATCATATATGATCTTTTGACAAAATTTAAGTTTAGCACATAAGATTGAAGTCGCGGGAAGCCTTTAGATGCAGAAAGTACAGGACTGGTTGTTGTGGAGAGCCTATATCCAGCAGTGGACCTCTTTCGGCTGAGATAATTATGATGATGACATAAGCCTTTAATCGTTTAACATCAATGTATAACTCCGAACTCTAGAGTCGTAATATTTTTATTGATGAATACTCAGGTCCTGAGTGTTTCACTGTAGAAAATAAAAAAATTAAAAATACGTATTTTAAAGCGCAGAAAGGTATCATTCGGTTACTAGCGACCGCGACGCTCGACAGGGGAAGCGCATTAAAAGCGCCTTTCCACCGAACGGGGACGAGAAATTTATTGAATTGGTGGAAAGCAACTCTCTTCTTCTCGTGATGTAAAAATTGAGTCAATGTTCACTTTTTTTTCTGAAGGCATAGATAGTAATTTATCATCATTATCATCATCCTCCAATAGCTTTTTTCCTAGCTAGCAAAATTTTCGTACATATCGCATACATCGCTGACATCGGAAAGCTATGGGTCGCCCCGCGACCGGCAACCATGATCGCGAAGTCGTAATATCCGGGTCGCGCGTCGCGGTCGCAAGAACCGAATGCTACCTTAACATGCATTGCTTGCTTGTTATGCGTTTTAAAACACGTCTCGGTCTAGAAAACTCACTTTGTAATGGGTCTATAAAATGTTTCGGTTAGTGAATTTATCGTCATTAATATGATACAGTGACATCATAATGAGTTTGTTTTATTCTTACAGTATGGACTTTACGCTTCATTCATGGGAGGTTTTGTGTATGCGTTTCTGGGGACATGCCCTCAAGTGAATATAGGACCAACGGCATTGCTATCCCTCCTCACATTCACGTACACACGTGGAACAAATATAGACTTTGCAGTACTTCTTTGTTTTATGACAGGCATTGTTCAGCTAATGACTGCTATCGCGCAATTGGGTAAGAATATTTTCGAGACTTTAACTTCGAGACCTTAATTTTGACTTCTTAAACACTTCGTTTTGTCCCTAGAAGATAATGAAAAGATACTAGGAGATTTATTACATGATTTATAAATTTCTCAGCCATGGGATGATAATTTATATATCATATACATATATCATTGTGACGTTAATTGATAAAGATGATTTTTAAATTTTTATATTATATTTTTGTCATTGCCTAGGTTTCGTGATGGATTTTGTGTCAGTACCTGTCATATCAGGATTTACATCAGCCGCATCACTTATGGTTGCATCTTCACAGGTAAAAGGATTGCTGGGCATAAAATTTAAAGCTGGTACATTTGTAGATACGTGGGTAAAAATCTTTAAGCATTTAGGAGAAACTAGGATCACTGACACTATGCTCAGCTTATCCTGTTGTACCATACTCACGTTAATGCAGGTAACTATTATTTTTGGAGTTAATTTTTTTTTACAAATATTTTACACTAAATAAGGTAGTTTTATTTTCTGACTCAACACTTTAAATAACAAGCATTAATTAGCCTTCGTGGGAGTTATACTACATCGGTGCACTTTAATGTTTATCTTGCATCTTTCTCTCTTAAGTCGTCTTGTGTCAGACGCATGCAAGAGAGATTGGCGTGAGTCTCAAGCAGCTTATTTGTGCACCTTGCCAGTCGCGCGTATGATGTTTTGCAACCTATGCGCCAAATTTAATGTTGATGAAAGTAGTAAGTAGTAGTAATAATTTAATGAAAGGGAAAAAGAATCTGCATAATCTATTAATTCCAACTTCATTTACGTCAATCTTTATAATTTGTAAATTTCCAACCTTAGGGGTGGCATTTTCAAATAAGTGTACACCTACGTCACCTTTTTTTTTTTTTTTTGTTTTTTTTTTTTTTGTTGACGGGGTGGAAAATCCCTTCGGATCTCCTGCTCCTCGGGGCTAGGAGCTAGGAGTATGTGGTGATTCCACTAAAAACCACCCCGACGGCCGGCCTCAGGTGCCCTACTCTGGGAGGACCCGGACCAACACCTACGTCACCTAAGGAACATTTGTGCATAACTTCATGCTTCTTGACCAGTCAAGGGCAAACTACGGTCCGACCCCGAACGGTTGCAATATGGCCTGCGCCACCATCCATCCAGAAGAAGATATAAATCATACAACAAAAATAAAAATCACAAAACAAATATTCTTGAATCGCGGCGTATAATGTATTTCGTTCACAATAAATTTGAATACTTTTCTCTAATCATGGACGAAAGTACAGAGATAAATGATTCATCCAATTAATTGTTTTTGTCAGAGGAATTGTTCTTAATTCAGAGTTCAACATAACTCAAGGATCGGCTTGCTGCATGGTTAATGGTTGCGCCGTTACACACTTTAGTATAGTTTTTGATTGTCATTGACACAACGCTTTCCTTCTCTCATCCTTTTCCTGCATGTATCTACATCAGCAGCGAGAAAGAGAACAAAGCATACGCTTGCTACTATTGGTCTTCGATATGTAAACCACCCCCGGCTTGCATAATTAGTTCATAGACGATTTATGTTCGAGATAGACACGTGCTCGCGCCACTACAAATAAAATAACAAAAATTTTCATCCGCACCACCACCTTAAAAGAAAAAGCAACTGGTCAAATTATGTATGATTCCTATTTTGAAGGTTATTTTACTTGTGAAAACGTTATGATTACATTAATCACGAATGGTGCGCCCAATATGGTGGGCGGCAATTTGGTGTTCATGGACGTATTTCTCTGCACTGAAATTCAACTAAAAAAAAAAAATTCGAAATTCAACCCACACTTAGTTTGGTTGTTAAACTTATTAACACAATACGCGCAAGGGGGCTGACCCATCGTCAATTCTAAGAATTCCTTAAATCCACCAAAACCGAGTTCTCGGACCATCTTACCACACAAAAGTGAGGTGGTTAAGTAGTGGTAATGCGTTTGACAGGGTGTGGAACTTAGGAAGGAGATTCAGGACCTTTAGACGATACTAGGCAAATGGGACGACTTCAAAATAATTGCCGATAAAATTGGGTTGTTGATTTCGCATTTTTTATGGATCTCCTCACACTCACACAAACTAAATACATGGCTTGCAAGTATTCTTGGATGAGCTTTGGGGACATTTACAAGCGTTTTAAATTACAGCTTAAATTATTTTATATTATTAAAATATTTATGATAATATTTTGGACACCTAACACACCATCTAATTTCAAATTAAGCAGAGCTTGTACTATGAAAGCTAAATTGACAGGTAGAATACTTATATACTTTTTTTTTGTAAATACATACATATTGTACAGAGAAAACACCCAAATTCCGAAAAAAAAATTTGCAGATCATACAAACGCAACTTTCGATAAGGGAATCAAACGGAGACCAAAGCACAGCAGTCGCATACGCTACCTGCACCACCGAGGCAGTCAAGCTGTATCGAAAAAAACACTGTTATAAATTGACCAGTATTGCACCAATCTCGGACAAAAAGAAACGCTCATCAACTGAAAAGACTTCACTTTGAATTTGAGAAAAATGACTTTAAGGAAATTAAACCTTCAATTAATTTTTTTTCGTAGTCTCTTAATGTCAACGACGACGAAGTTCCCGCAGTCCGAAGTTAGACATCAGCTTACAGTAAATGAGATGCAGTGCAATACTCACTTTTATTGTTGTTGAAACCTGAGGATAAATAATTTTATTTTAGAAAATCCATTTTTGTAAAAAAATAAATATAGCGAAAAAGTTATTAACCTAGCCCCCCTTTTTTTTTCTTGACGGAGTGGAAAATCCCTTCGGATCTCCGGCTCCTTGGGGATATAGGAGCCAGGAGTATGTGGTGATTCCACTAAAAACCACTCCGACGGCCAGCCTCAGGCCCCTGTCTGGGGAGAACCCGGGCCATGTGATTTCAGGTTTCCCCCAGATCGACGCCGCACCTAACTAGGCCCCAGCTCTGGGAAACACAGTGACTTTTCCCTGTCTCTCAGCCTATCCAGATGTTGCGGCCCGATCACATTTTCAGTGCGACCAGGCTGCCATCCTATCCCCTACCGCGCCATCCTATCCTAGACCCAGCGTTTTAGCTGTGCGCAGATCGATCAGGCAGTGAATCAATGTGTCAATTTCTTCTTTCATAGATAGAGATAATGGACCATGGTACTCACCGATAGAACCTTCTACTTCGTGTTTATTTATTTTGACGTGACAACGTCTTATAAATTGGTTTGCCGGGTGACACTTCAAGAAACTGCGTTACGCTCCGCTCACGTTATGCGCTCACAATGAGAGCGAGTGAGAGGCACGCGTCCCTTCCACTCGGGCATGGTTAGCCCGCCTAAGAGCGAGAGAGACAGACATAAAAAGTGAAAGGCACGCGTCCCTTCCACTCGGGCATGGTTAGCCCGCCTAAGAGCGAGAGAGACAGACATAAAAAGTGAAAGGCACGCGTCCCTTTTTTAAATATAATTCTTTGTATAAATAAATGATTTAAATTGTTACTATTATTTCATCCTTCTTCCTACTATACGAATGAATATTCACATTAAAATTATTTTACCACTCAAAGTCGTTGTCACGTAAAACTTTCGCCCGTATACCGACTTTACAGGCAACCAATTTTTTTTAATAATTGTTATGGTGTTTGGCATAAAAATTTGCAACAGCAGAAAAACACGTTCACGTACTGTTACATGTCAAACGTATGTATAGCTTATGCAAGTCGAACAGATTATTTTTACCTTTTTTATTTACAAAATAATAAGAGGTCTAAGAAATAAAAAAAAACCTGTTTCATTTTTATTGACATTAAAACATTTTTATAATAGCTAACGATATGTTTCTGTTTTTAGTATCTAAAGAAAATCCCATTTAAGAAACCCGAAAGCGACGGGGAAAAACGTAGAGCTGCAATGAGAAAAAAAATATTTTGGTTTATTGCTATATCCAGAAACGCTGTAGTTGTACTTTTGGCTTCGGTGACTGCGTTCTTGATGTTCGAGAGTTTAAATGATCCATTTCATCTCACTGGTCAGTAGTTGACATATACTTTTAAGATAGGATATCTAACAATCAACATTAAATAATTATGAGCTGATTTATGCTGAGCTGAGCTGAGCTTATTTACATTAACCTGCAATATATTTCAGTATTGAAGTGAAAGTTTTTTTTTGGGACATGTAGAATTAGAGTATCTTCTAATATATCCTAACAAATGTGTTTTTTTGTCTGTTAGGCCCTATAACACCAGGACTTCCAACGCCTCAACCACCTCCTTTCCAATCGAAAGTAGGTGATAAGGTATATACGGCTCGGGAAATGTTGTCACGACTCGGGGTTGGCTTGATTGTTGTGCCAATGATAGGAATCTTGGCAAACGTCGCCATTGCTAAAGCTTTTGGTAAGCGTTTGTAGTTGTCATTTATTATTATTAACTAAATCTTTGATTAATTCATTCTAAATTCATACTTACATACCTAAATACTATCTAAAGGTAAAATATTAGAAACAGTTATACGGAGAAAGTCACGTTCAACAAAAAATTACACGAAATAATTAATGAAAAGTTATATTAAATAGTGTACAATATTGTCATAATTATTTCAAATTAATTTTAGCACATGAAGCGTTATAGGGTTCATCATCATCATCATCAGCCTTTAACAGTCCACTGCTGGACATAGGCCTCTCCTTAGAAAGGAGGTTTTGGCCTACTATACCACGCTGGCCAGACGGGTTGGTATAGGGTTTGTGTCAAGTTTTCCTTCTCTCTGCAGAGCTGGTGTTATGGCAGTTATAGGGTTGTTAAAGTTAATTTGTCAACAAAGGAAACGAAGGTTTGCCTTATCGGGGTAATACATGCCTACGTGATCCTTAAGAACCTATTAGGAGATTACCTGCTTTAGCCGGTAGGAGTGATAATAATGCTAATCTGAATTTCCCACCTATAACTTGCAATATACACATTCAATTCACAAAGGACAATGGCAGGTCCCCATACATAATTATAATATTTGAACTGAAATGTTAGCGTTTAAATATCAAAAAATCCTTAACACTTGAGAATTTATTCTTGACCATTTTCATATCAAAATAACTTGCGAAAGAAGTCTAGGAAAAAAGATATTGGATTTTGAATGTTTCGAGGTTAAGTACTAACATATTGTTAATGTTTTGTTTGAAACTAGATGGCGTTGTGTGTCAGATAGCCGAAAATATTATTTTCATTATTATTACAGTATATGAAATAAAAAAAAGCATAAAATCTATTCGAGTTTAACACTAAATTAAACAAAAATAAAATAACAAACGTGGTGAGTCCGGAACTCGACAGGATCTAAACGACGACGTATCGACATTTTGAAAATATCGATGTATGTCTTTTTTATGTGCCGTTATCAATGACAATGTATTTTTCTCATCACACTGTGTAGTGGAAAATAACGTAACTATATTCTATTTATTTAGTGTGTTTAAAATCGTTTAAAGACAGTCAAAAATATTTTAAATAATTTCTAATTATGTTGATTCAGTCACTCTACCGTACGAGTGAAGACGTGGGCAGAAGCAAATCCATAATCATAATAGGTGAACCTTCGGTAAATATTTCAGCCAAAGCTATAAGAATCGATTATCGATAAACTGTTCCATAATATAATATTGCCACCACGCATCCCTAGTCAGTTATACATGATGGCGAATCTGACATTACGTACTTAGGTCAAATAAAATCATCAAAAATATCTTATCTCTTATAAGACTTATACAACACATGGTGGTGTAATGATAAATCATAGAAAAAATATTGATTAAGTTTACTGTGACTGGATTTTTTAAACGCTTAAGTTTTAGGTAAATATGTTTCTGCCATTGTTCTTTAGAAAATGGCAATTGTTATTTTCAATTTTCATGTTCTGGTTCTAAAAGCCCACGAAAATAACAATTGGTATCAAATTATTACTTAACAGTTAATTGAAAAAAAAACGTTAGAGATGTACTTATTAAACACACACGATACTTGTTGTCTGCACTAACTGTATAAATCTAACACTAGAAATTCCAACACACTACAAGTCTTACTTATCTTTCATTTTTTTTCACACTGGCAAAGTCAGTGAGTACTTTTAAGAAACTCGTCAAAGATCACAATTTATCCCTGTAAGATCAGATGTAAGATCTATGTATATTTATATGAATATATGTATTTGTAAATATGTGTATGTATAACTATGTCATGTTATACTCATTAATAAATGTATATTCTAAATGCGTACCACAAACTACACACTATACAGTATGGTCTATCTAAATGTTGTCTGTAAGAGATCGCCGATTGCGATAAGACCGTCAATTGTACCACTGTTTTTGTTTGTATTCTGCATTGTATGTTTGTCATCCATGGTGTGCAATAAAGAGTACCTATCTATCTACAGAAATTTGTAAAGTAAAAGCTCTATGTGTTATTTATTTTCTGAGATTTAATTTTTTCGTTGTAAAACTGAATTTTACTATAGATTTTTATCATTTTTTTTAGCTAGAGGAAAAAAAGTGAATGCAACTCAAGAGATCTTGGCAATTGGAATTTGCGGTATTGTCAGTTCTTTCTTCGTATCGATGCCAGTAAACGGCTCCATAAGCCGCAGTGCTGTAAGCGATGCATCAGGAGTACGGACACCTGGTGCGGGATTTTATACAGGTATGTATGTTTTTATCTCTTAGAAAAGTTACTGAGGAAAAATCCTTACTCACTCACTACTAAATCGCGGGTAACATGTAATGTATTATTTGAAGGACTACTTTATAGACTAAACTGCATGTTATCCACGACTTAAGATAAAACTCTTCATTGCTAAATATTTTAGTGACATTCAACTTTACAGCCAATTTGCAGTAAGTATATAGAAAACCCATAAAATATTGTATTTCTTTCCGTGTCAGTATTGCTTCTCATTTCCTATCAAAGCATCTGTTATGTGCCACAGCGAATACACTAGCCAGTAATTTATATAACAGTGGACAACTTTACCAAACAAGCCAATCAAGTCTACTGTTATATATTATATTAGAATCGTCTTTGTATTTCATGTTGAAAAAACAAAAACGCAAAAAAAAAAACAAAGGGGCATGAGAAGTTTGCTTATACAGATGAAGTGATGTGTGTAAACAATATCCCAGAAAAGTCATCATCATCATCGACAGCGTTTAGCAGTCCACTGCTGGATTTAGGCCTCACCTTAGAAAGGTTTTGGCCTACTATACCACGCTGGCCAGACGGGTTGGTATAGGGAAAGTACCCATATCTTAAAAGATTGATTCTCTGAGGCTCCTTAACTATCTTATAAAAAAAATTGATGTAAAGGAAAAATACTAATACCTTTATGTATAAAACAACTTGGTCCTCCATTCTAAGTGGCCGAACCCGACAAGGAACATTTATTTTAATTGTTCTCAATGTTAGCATTCATTTTATCATATAAAACTCAATTGACTACCGAGCGGGTACACATTAGGCGTTTTGCGAGCGCTTAATTTCCACATTCGCTAATTTAAAGAATGGGGAGTGATGCTCTAAAAATACTGAAATATGTATTTATTATTTATAACAAGGAGTCCCTATTATATCCATTTTCAGACCTCTACCATTAAATTTTTTACCGATTCTAAGAAAGTTTATCAAACGAAAGGCGCGTTGTGAATTGGAATATTGAACTTCTGCGGTTGTTTTCTTAATAAAATTAGATCTTTTTCTTAGTACTTACCCTTGACCGCTGACTCCTTTACATTTCATTGACCGTGGGAAGGAATTCTCCGGCACAAATGAGCAGGTTTTACCGGAGTGATTTCAAGGCTTCACAGAAAACTGATTTTAAGCAACTCATTTGTTGTTTTTCACCAAATGAGTGAAGTTAGTGAAGCCCAACCCCTCGCCCTGCCATGAACGCACCTGTGACTCTTACAGTTGCAGGTCTCCATGGTCGGCGATAGTCGTTTACCATCAGATGGCCCATTCGCTCAGTTGCCCCTATACCATAAAAAAGTCACCATAATTAGATCGGTATCAAAATAATTAATTCCCTTATTTGCTTAGTTATTAACAAATTAGGATTTTCTAAAGTGATTCTATCTTTTCAGGCGCGCTTGTAATTCTGACGCTGGTATTACTGACGCCATATTTTTATTACATTCCACGCGCTGCACTTTCATCGGTCATCGTCTGTGCGGTGCTACATATGGTGGAAACAGCTATCATTGCGAAATTATGGAAAGTTAGCAGTGAGTATAGATGATATTGTTCATTATTTTTACGTTTAGTATAAGTTTTGTGAATAAAATGCGGACATGGGTTTTGACAATAATGTGGGGCGAGCCAGCTCTCTGCGCCAAAAGTCACTTGCACCCTTTTATCACCGACAAATATTCCTTTAATTTTATCTCATTCCGCCAAAGTTAGACATACCAGAAGTCACCAAACTTCTCCTGTGGGAGAGCCATGACTCGGCGCGATGGGCTGGTTCGACCGAAGTGATACCAAGATCTCATAAAAACCAGCAGAGCCAAAACCCTTAATCGCCTTGATTCAGGGGAGGAGGGGGCTCAAAGTGTGGTATCGCAATTGCGGGTGTCCGTGGGCGGCGATAGTCACTTACCATCAGATGACCCGATTGCTCGTTTGTCCCCCTATCATGATGAGCCTATTGCAGTCCGCTGCTGGGCATAGATCTCTCCAATTACAATAAATGAATCCATACACCCACGTCTTCTATCCCCGACGAGATAGACGAAGGCTGATTTACATGCTCACATTTTGCCGACTAACTATTTGATTCCACTTATTTAATAGGTGACAAGTTTATTGCCGTCGTTCAGGCAGATGTTTCTAAAGAGAGATATATAATAGAGATTAGAATGGGATTTGTTCTTGGTGGGAAACGAACCCACACCTCTGTCATTATTGGTCCAGTTGTCAACGAGCTTGACTGCTCAAGCTTCGACTAAACTGTGAACTAAACGTTCAAAGTTTTGCTTCATTAGTTCAAATTTGGCAGAAAACGTTGAAATGTATCAGTAAAAGTTATAGTGTGTTGGCATTTCTAGTACAGTACAAGCAGCACGCCTATGGAATTCCTTACCGGAAGCTATAAGGCGGGCACGGTCAGTGACTACTTTTAAGAGACTCGTCAAGGATTGCTATTTATCTCTGTAAGAACTATATGTTATGTATGTGTATGTATATTCATATGAATGTATGTATGTGTATGGATATGTATTTGCACACATACAATACAAACTACATATTACATATTAATACAAAATAGTCCATCTAAAGATTGTCCGTAAGAAATCGCAGACTGGGATAAGGCCGCCCATTTTACCACTGTTTTTTTTTAAATGTTTATATTCTGCAACGTTTCCTATCCATGGTTTGCAATAAAGAGTACCTATCTATCTATCTATCTTTCTAGCTTCTTTTATTAATACACCTCTAAAATGTATTGTTGATTAAAGCATAATGTTGCTTATATTGAAGTCAGGTGCAGGTTTATTGACTCTATTCGGGAATTGTGCCATCAGGATCATAAGGGGGTACCGCAAGATCTCCTTTGAGGCGGTGATTCACCTGGCCGGAACTCCACCATGGGACCTGGAGGCGAGAGCACTTGTGGCTCTGTTTCAGTGGCGCAAGGAGGCATGGGAGTTGGGTCGGAGTCCCGAGACTCGAGAAATCGATGACCGGAAATCCCAACGCCGCCGGGTCCTCGTAGGGGAGTGGAAGGAACGACTTGAGCAACCGAGCGCCGTCATCGCGGCGGTAAGACCCGTTATGGAGGATTGGCTCGAGAGGCATCACGGGACCCTCTCATACCGACTGACGCAGGTGATCACTGGGAAAGGATGCTTCGGGGATCACCTGTGTCTGATCCGCAAGGAGCTAACGCCTGAGTGCGACCACTGCGATGCCCAGACCGTGGACACGGCTCTCCACACGCTGGCAGAGTGCCCGGCGTGGGTTGAGCAGAGGCGAGATCTCGTGGCGTGGCGTTGCGGCTATCGTGCTGTTAGAGATGCCTTATGTAAGCATTCCTGCACACCCCACACTTCTACTCTGCACATTCAGCATTTCTCCATCAATAGCCGAACGACCCGTCCACTCATGACCAGTCTCATCCCGATATCCAAGCCAGACGGTTGTCTTAACCCTATTTAGTATTTTATTTCTTTTTAAAAAGACAAGTTCCCCGAGACTCGTAACATATTTGGTGGCAGCGTTAAGGGATTCGAAAAGAGTCCCCGGTACGTCTCTTAAAAAGTTCAAATTCGGCGCGAGTGTATTTGAGTGTAATTGCCGACTCCATAGTGTACAAAGTGTCAGTGCACCGAGTTCGAGCCCGACTCCTGGACGTCAGTGTTCGTGATAAAGCTTGTGAAAGGCCCATTGCTGTGCACCACCCGTGCTGCAGCCGGTCTTTGTCCAGAACCAGAAGGATTACACCCATTGTCACGCCAAGTTAGTGCTGTGACCGGTGTAATATCTCCAACGACGCGACGACCTTCGGCTTATCAACGCCTACGCTTCACCTGTGAATCTTCCAAGAAACCATGTCCGTTATTCTTATCGCGCTGTCCGCATTCCAGTAAGTGAAACCATACACTTGGTCATTGCTAACATCTTATTTAAAACTAATACATTATATTTGAGATTTTTAAATATCATTACTCTATTCTGTAACGTATTCCGTCACATACGTATATTGTTCAAATTATTGTTATTTCAACCTTATTGTGTATTTGTAATTGTTAAGATGACTGAGAGATCCCAAAGTCCAAAATTGGAAATTAACATTACTGATACCGAAGAGGAAGGCCAAGGCCTCTGCCCTCCCCCTCAAGGACCTTCTACTAGATCACAATCAAAAAAAATTAAAACTGTAACATCTAAATTAGAAATTGAGCTTTCCACGTTATTAAAATTCATAAAGCCATACGATGGCTGCAGAGAAAAACTAAATTCCTTCTTAGTAAACTGCAATAACGCCTATGAACTAGCATCAGAATCACAAAAAGACATACTCTTTAAATACATTCTATGCCAACTACAGGGCAAGGCGGAAACCGCATGCTCCATCAAAGAATTTTCAAATTGGCAACAACTGAAAGAATTTCTAAAAACACAATTCAGTGAAAGAAAGCACTATGCCCATCTTTTAACAGATTTACAGGAGTGTAAACAACAAATAAATGAAAATGTAAGTCAATATGCTCTAAGGATCGAGACATGCCTGTCTCATCTGTTAACCGAAATATCTATCTCACACGGTCATAAAGGTCGAGAGATGATAGGACGCACGGCAGCCATGGAGGAATTAGCCCTCCATCATTTCCAAATGGGATTGACACCCCGTATCTTTAACATTGTCAGGGGTAAACCAATAAAAACTCTAAATGAAGCCATAAATATGGCCATTTCAGAAGAAAAAATACAACAGTCCCTATCCAGACAAGGTCCGAATTCGTTAAGCACTCAACAACCACGACAAGATAGGTCAAACGCTACAAAACTAAACACTCAATTTATTCGTCGTAACCAAAATCAACAACCCTCGACCTCAAACCAGTACAACGTAAAACCTAACTTTAATAACCCTAACAGATCTAATAATAACTACAACAATTCTTCTACTCAATTCTGTAGGTACTGTAAAACGCCAGGTCATACCTTAGAGCAATGTCGGAAAAGGGAGTTCAACAACAACCGTTTCAAGAATTTCGACCCGAATCAGCAAAGAACGCTACAACGCGTCAACTTCATTTCCGACGAATCCTCAGACAATAACGATGGATATTCGGCTAACCCCACAGAGGGTTATGATACCGTTGATGCCGATCCAAAAAACGAGTAATCGTCTCGTCCCGGTGCCGTGCGGGACGTCATAATTCAAAAAACGGTATCACAAGTCCAAAATCCACTGTATCCGTGCAGCAACATCATGTTGATCTGCCAAAATCCTCTGTATCCGTGCAGCAACATCATGTTGATCTGCCAAAATCCTCTGTATCCGCGCAGCAACGTCATGTTGATCTGCCAAAATCCTCTGTATCCGTGCAGCAACATCATGTTGATCTGCCAAAATCCTCTGTATCCGCGCAGCAACGTCATGTTGATCTGCCAAAATCCTATGTATCCGTGCAGCAACATCATGTTGATCTGCCAAAATCCTCTGTATCCGCGCAGCAACGTCATGTTGATCTGCCAAAATCCTCTGTATCCGCGCAGCAACGTCATGTTGATCTGCCAAAATCCACTGTATCCGCGCAACAACGTCATGTTGATCTGCCAAAATCCACTGTATCCGTGCAGCAACATCATGTTGGTCTGCCTAATTCCACTGTATCGATACAAAAACAAGGTAAACCGCCAAAACCTTCTAAATCAAATATTTTTGAAATTACAAATAACCCTGCAAAAACATTATTACCACACGTTCTAGTTAATTCCTCCGTATCAGACATCCCGCTATCCTTGTTAGTAGACTCAGGGTCATCTGTAAGTTTGATAAAACATTCATGCATAGAAAAGCACCCTAGACTTATCAAAGAAACGATTCAATTAAAAGGCATTGACTCGAAAGAAGAACCCATCAATACTCGAGGCCACTTCCGATTAAAATTACAGCTTTCTAAATCCACAACATCACATCCCTTCCACGTCATTGACGTAATACATTTACCTTATGATGGAATTATCGGCTCCGATATGCTGAATATGCATAACTGCAACATTAATTATAATAATAATCTGCTCCATCTGGGTAATTCATCCTTAAAATTACACTTTCATGATCCCGCTTACTTAATTCCTGCTAGAACCGAAACCATTATTGAGTGTTCTGTGTCTAATCCTGAGATAAAAGTAGGGGTAATCCTCGATCAGAAGTTTTCAGAGACTTTATTGATTGCCAATTGCATAGTACGCGTAAAAGAAAACAATCGAATTAACATATCCGTCGCTAACACTTCCGATAAACCCATCACATTAAATTCGAACCTAAACCTAAAACTTAATCCTATTGCACCTTCAGAATTCAAGGAACAACCAGCTAGTTCAATAAACCATATACGAGTTTCAACCAATAGCGTCGAGCGTACAGCAGAAGTATTAAAACAGCTACGCGTATCACATTTAAACGAAGAAGAAAAAACCGCTCTTCTGCAATTATGTTCCGACTTCTCTGACATATTCCATCTTCCAGGAGAAAATCTTACCCATACTAATG